TTCTGGGAGTTGAAGTCCACTCATCTTAAAGTGGCCAAGTTTGGACAACACTGTTGTAAGGACTTGATAGGTGGAGAAAATCACAGAATACAAAGACCTGCAAATAGAAGTAGAACGACTGTGGTAAAAGAAAGCAAAGAGAGCACCAATGGCTACAGGCACCTTAGGTGCAATCCCAAAACATCTGGAGCACCCCTTGAAGACCATCGGCATTTGCCACTGCAAAAGGCAGCTTTACTTGGAACGGCTTCCATCCGGCGACGATACTTTTAACACCATCCAACAACATCTGTCTTGGGAAGGACTCGATAGGTGGATCAAAGTGCCAAGTCCAGTCTAAACATCTGTCTGACTGTGTGAACCACCATAATAATAATAATAATGATGATGATGGAAAACAGAAGAGGCTGATTGGAAAAAAATTTGGGACTCGCTTAATAAGAATTCCTTTCTTTCGGGTTGAAATGCTCACTTAACTCAGAGTAAGAAGATTGCACACAGTAGGACACACTTGGAATAAATGCATATGCATGACTCTGCTCTTTTTCCACATAGTTCAGTACAAATATATGCATTTAGGATTCTTTGGTGGCCCAAATCTCTATAAACCATTGCAGTGTTGCCAACCTGAACATCATAGCTTTCGAAAGCAAACAAGCAAATAGGTTTCCAGCTTGGCTGAATTCTCCCACAGGCTTCCCACTTTAATCCTGGGGAAGAGGGGAGAGGAGATAGGGGCGTTTCTTGCCATCGCTTGGAAGGCAAGGATGAGGGGTCAGGGCAGGAAACGGATGGCCGGGTGGTTTGACAGCCGCCAGGGGAAAGACTCATTCACTGCAGGGCAATTCTTAGCTTATGGAATTCACGGCCACAAGAGAGGACGGTGGCGTGAGGTGTGAGAGGCTGCCCGTGGGCTGGAATCGAGCGCTCGGCCACTCCAGTCTCGGTGGGACTCGGGCCTTTCCTTCTGTCGGCCTCCTGGTCCTGGTGAACTCCCCTGCGCATCCC